AAAGAGAGAGATAAAGACTGACTCAATAAACAAAAAATGACAAGACTAACCAATACCGCAAGTCAAAAAGCCACAAAAGCTAGCAATTTCGCAAAAATGCTCAAAAACAAGTGCCGTGCCATACGCCACATCCGGAATTAAACTGAGCGCCCGCCCCGCCAGTGGTTTCATCCCTCGATTCACATCACAATTTAAATCCCCCACAAGTTTTTTTTTTTTCACACCGATCAAGTGGGCCAATAGATCTTTTGCAGGACCCTGGTTGCCGGGATGACCCTTTGCCCCTGTCCAATCAGATTTTTGGTAATCTCCCAGAAATGGCGAAAGACCGGACACAAGCTGTTCGATGTCCATGACCGCGGTTTTTGTTGATGAAAAGCAAAACAGTACTTAGTTTCAAGGTCATGCCTTTTGGAGGGAGAGGAATCGGGGTTAAGAGGCCCGTCGTTTTTCCAACGGTTTTTCAGAAATGTCCTTTTCCCTGAGTAGGACCCCCAGGGCTTTTTAAGAAACAAAGGCAAAATAAAAAGTGGGGTGAAAAAAACCCTCCTTGCCTCGGGGTAGAAATAGTCCCTGAAGTTCCGGGGTTTGAAAGTGATGCCACCAACAAAAGGGGTGGCTGCTTTTCTTGTGGTGGTTGGTGGCGACCATAGCCCTTTCGGAAGATCTTGCAGCTGCGTCACCGCTTGGTGGTTGCAATTCGAACTGGCGGGGAAATGCCTCCGGGCTGCTCCTTCTCCTGGTCAATGAGGCCCTGCTTCATAGCCAACCTGCGATCTGTACTTCCCATCCAATGCAAATCTGAAAAGGTAGGGAAGGGGAAGTACGATCATTTTCTGCAATTAGTTTGGGTTTGGAGGTTGCGCACATACCATCCTATCTGGTCTTTGTCGGAAGGCCTGTAAAGCCATCATTGAGGCCTATTGCTCTCCACTCGCCACAAAACTCTGAAAAACCCTCATTTGGCTCTTGGCGGGTGACTTCAAGATCACGAGTTGTGACCTCAATCTGTGTGTTGTAGGAGTATATGATCACTTGAAAGCTCGCCATGCTCTTCCCAATCTTTTCCACGAGTTCTCCAATTTTCGCATACCAGATTAGGCTTATCCAGACAAGAGTCCGGCCAAAACAATGCAAAATAGGTTCTGTAATCTGGTGAGGACCAATGCGGCCTTAGATGTCTGAAAAACCGCCGCAAGTGCACCATGGATCCCCGGACCCATCAAAAACGGTCAATGTGTGGCCATCTTGAATCTGTCTGGCAGCGTCACAGCTGCAATCGGAATACCCATCGTCGATGTTCAAGGACGGGGTTTTCAATGCCTGACCCTTCTTGAACAAACCTTCAAGCTGCCTATCTTTAGCGCCTTGGATCCGTCTCTAACTCAAAAGGGGAGTCCGGTACGTTGATGGGTGTTTGGATAAGCTTTGGGGTAGAACCGGGGCGGAGGTGGCACCGACTGGAATGTCCGTATCATCCTGGACCGTAGGGGTTGGCCTCCCCGGTATGGGAACTCTTGGTGGGGGAGGAGCCTGGTGCGAAGCTAGATACTACCAGTTTGCTAGCTCTAATCTGGCAATTGTCTCTGCCTGTTTGGGCTATGAACCAACAGCCTGTTGCTTGGCGAATTCTTTCGCTTCGACGAACAGTGTGTTGCGTCATGGCTTCACACTATCCCTGGAGTTGGGGCATCCATCTCTTCCAGACTTCGACATACTGTCTACCTACTGAAGCGAACCGGTATACTTGTGTCGGCATAGGCCCTCGGAAATCTCAGCCCGACTGCTCAAAGATCACTGATCTGTTACTGTTGTGTACTGGTAGTCTGTGCCTGACTAGCCTTCTCTGGCCCTGAATTACCCTTGAACTGAGTCTATTACTGACCAAAGTTCTATCAGTACAAGTCCATGAACCTCGGGGATATGGAGCTTCCTAAGCTATTAGTTCCCAGATACTACCTTGGGCAAAAGAGAAAAACAGACCGCATCTCAGCTCAATTTCATCAGAACGGGCATTGGCATACTGAATAAACGTGTATTCTAGCTACTGATACGTGTTCCCGAAAAAATCGCTGCCAAACTCAAATATTGAATCTAATACCCCGCAGATAAAACTGATTCTCCAAAACACAGCCGATGCCGCAGGCGCTGATACCCAGACTTGCAAATCTAGAATATAATGCATTCCTGAGAGGCCAACTCCAAAAAGCACATAGCAAGCAAATTGAGAGCCCAAAACCACCCTATGTTGGGGTAGGGTTTCCTTGTCCTCTTTTGTCAGGAGCTAGGGTTTCAACTCGCACATAGCGGTTTCAAAACAACGGCGTAATATTTGAGTAAAGCAACCTGTCTAGTTTGGAAATGGTCGGCTATCGCAGTGCGTTATTCGCCGATTGCGGAAAGGGGAACTATGGAGGGGGGAAAAATGTCATTGCACTAGGTCAAATGGTCGAAAAGGGTGCCCCGGTAAAAACCGAGGTTTGTGTTCCCATGACTGTCGAGCCCATACACCGGTCAAGCCTTAATGTCATGCCTGACAAGACAACCTCCACAAACGTTCCAGGAATGGCAGATGGCAAAACACGGTGTCTGGCACAACCAACTGCACATGAAATGCAAAGAGACACATAAATGAAATCAAACTTGAGGATATCACGAGTCGAGTCAAGCTCTCTAAAATCCTAGCTTAGTCGCCAGAAACTGTAGACAACGCCCGTAGGGCCTTCGCTACAGTTCGGACTCGATTCGTGGTCAGGTTCTTGATCTTGAACCAAAGAGTCAAACCGGCAAATCGTTTTGAGAAACAGATTTTTTGAAAAGAAGTGTCAAGACATGGACTGCTTCGCCAGTACAGAGTCGCCACCTAAATATTTTATGGGGGATTTAGGAAACCTGACTGGTACTGCGAAGGCACAATGTCTTCTCACCCCAAAGTTGGTCTGGCTCGGGAGTTGGTACGATCGGGGAAGGTCAGCTATGAGCACACCCTTTTGCCCGTCCGGAAGACCGGCCTGCTATTAACCAATGATTATCCAATTTTGAAAACGTTATGTTTCTTATTCCATTATTAGACGTAGAATTACTACGTATGCGCACAGCAAACAAGTATAGACTAGATTTGCCTAATTTTGGAAACAAGCATTGCATATCCGTTTGTTTGGAAAATGTTTTTGAGAATTTGCTACTCGCAAGTGGCTAAAATACGGATTTCAACGAGTTTTTCCAACAAAACAATCCCAACTTTCACCCACAGGCATTCGAACAATTTATAACACAATAAGCACTAGTCAGCGCATGGTAAGCATGCTATCATGTTAACATTCACACGCTATGCGAGATGCTAAAGCATGAATACTTACATCGTACTCCGTTGCCAAAACAATAAACAAGTTAGCAAACCATGCGTGATCCTAGTTCATGTCAAGTTGACTAATGCAACACATGCAGATGCAATTAGATAGGCTCGGCTAACCTAAAACATGGTATGTGAAATGCAAACCCAATTGATGCACGTATTCAATTTGGAAATTGAAATACAAATGCAGTTAGCGTGATGTACCGAGCCCGGTGCATGCGAAACTAATGTATGATGCACCCATGCGTAGCGTAAGGTATGCTAATCTAAACATGCCCTAATCTACCATCATAAGCAGGTAAATAAAAGGGAAGAAAAAATGGGGGTTGGAAGGCTCAACACACTCACCCACACTTATTACAGATTTACCCTCCGCCGGAGGGACCAAATAAAAATTCAAATAAAATTAATTAACTACGTAAGCTAATTAAATTTACAAATTGCCTATCAGTCAACACAAACTAACTAAGCTAGGGAAAACAGTAAATCGCCTCGGGAAAAAAGAGAGCTTGAATGCTGTGTGTGTGTGTGTGTGTGTGTTTAAACTTGTGTCAGAAAATTAAATGTATTTCTATTCAAATGGGTGAATGAGTTTCATTAAAAAAAAAAAAAAAATGGGGAGAGAGAATCGGAATCAATGGCATGGTTGTGTTTTTGTTTGATGTATTTTCTGTTTTCTTATCCTGGAGTAAAGATGCAAAAACATAGAGGAAAAGTGATAAAACAATGTCTACGTTAAATTCATTTCATGTTCTATTTTATTTGTGCGAACTTGTTTGAGACCCCTAAGGGTCCACAAAGCAAAGCAAAGAATTGAAATTTTCCTTAATTTGCCAATTTGAGTGCTATTATGTATTCCCTGTACACATCAAAAGCAGAGTTATTGACTATCTAAGAAAAGCTAAGGTTTGGGAACAATCAAATGAATACAATTTTACTTCCAACATACTGAGAAACTGTTTCCATATTTTTAATGTGCAGGAAAGAAGAGTTCAAGATTAATGGCGAAACAAAATAGGGGAAATATCAAAAAAATGAAAAGACGGTAAAATAATTTAAAATTCATGAAAGTACAAGTGACTCATGCACTAATTTGTGTTAAAAAAATGTCATACTTTCATCTATTTAAAATTATTTTACTTTGTTCCCACTTTTTTGATATTCCCCAACAAAGTAAGCATTAAAGACTATATTTGACATGAATTTATTTATTTATTTTGGTGAATATAACTACATTAAAAATTGCATAGTACATAGAGGTAAAATATACAGTACAAGGTAATATTAGGTTACAAAAATTCATGGCAAAGTAGGAAAAGAGTGAGAAAGGGTTGTTTAGCATGTTAGAGAATGGACTCTTCTAGCTGGAATTCTGGAAATTCTGCAGAAGAGCAACTGGGAAACCGCAGCGGTAATATTAACTAGAGAACAGGGTTTTATCTGAATATGAGGGAGCATGATATAACAATATAAATAAATAAATAAGAAACCCGCCAAAAATAAACTGATAACCAAATTTGTGGAATATGATCTAGATTTTGTAAAGGCCAAATGAATTTTATATCATTTTGCAGAGAAGAGAGGAATGACCAGAATTGAGAATAATATGGTTAATTCACAGATACAAAAACCTTGAATATTTTACATTTGTGTATAAAAACAAGAATATTACTGTAATTTGAAAGGCTAAATCCCATGTTTTTATTCCACAAAAAAACCATCAAAAAAGTAAATAATATTAGTGAAACACGAATACGAAGTAAAGAAAATGAATCTCAATTCAACTGTCCAAGAAATCAAACCTCCAAAAGAATTACAACATATATGCAAAGATGGAGAAATGCATATAGAAATGATAAACATTGAGAAAGGCTCATACAGAAATTCCTAAAAATGACAACATCATGGCAATCATAGAATTTAAGAAAAATAAATAGATATAACAAGAAAAAAAAATCTAAAGTGACCTTTAATTGATCTAAGCATTTGAGGAAGAGAAACTGGCTTTCTCTTCTTTATTGGAATCACTGTCTTTGCTTACTTTGCTAGATTGTTGGCTGGAAAAGCACATGCGAAGTGAGATTTTTGAATTGGCAGAAGAAAGAACAAGAAGGAAAATTTGTATTTTCTCCCAAGCAATTGGAATGTGGAAGGAGCCTATCCACAAGAGAGACAAGAAGACAAAAAAAAATCCCAAGATTTTCATTGTCAAATGTATACAATTTTACTTCCAACATACTGAGAAACTGTTTCCATATTTTTAATGTGCAGGAAAGAAGAGTTCAAGATTAATGGCGAAACAAAATAGGGGAAATATCAAAAAAATGAAAAGACGGTAAAATAATTTAAAATTCATGAAAGTACAAGTGACTCATGCCCTAATTTGTGTTATAAAATGTCATACTTTCATCTATTTAAAATTATTTTACTTTGTTCCCACTTTTTTGATATTCCCCAACAAAGTAAGCATTAAAGACTATATTTGACATGAATTTATCTATTTATTTTGGTGAATATAACTACATTAAAATAGCATAGTATATAGAGGTAAAACATACAGGCTGGAATTGGTAACGCTGAGAAGTATGAACAGAAACCTGTTTGGCGTGAACTGTTGAGTCCTTCTCCTGCACTTCGCCGTATGCTAGTTGCTGGTTTTGGAATCCAATGTTTCCAACAGATCACGGGTATTGATGCAACCGTATATTACAGCCCCCAGATCTTCAAAGTAGCGGGTATTGCTGGTAACTCGAAGCTTCTTGCTGCAACTGTTGCTGTGGGAGTTACAAAGACTGCATTTATATTAGTTGCTATTCTTCTTATAGACAAACTTGGAAGAAAGCCACTGCTATATATAAGCACAATTGGTATGACTATCTGTTTGTTTTGTTTGGGACTTACTCTATTATTGTTGAAGCACACACCTTTCGGGATTGGAATGGCGATACTGTTGGTTTGTGGAAACGTTGCTTTCTTTTCAGTGGGAATTGGTCCTGTTTGTTGGGTTTTGACATCGGAAATCTTCCCTTTAAGGCTGCGCGCCCAAGCAGCAGCACTTGGATCTGTGGGTAACAGAGTGTGCAGTGGTTTGATTGCCATGTCTTTTCTCTCCATGGGACGTGCAATTACAATGGCTGGAACTTTCTTCATTTTTTCAGCAGTTTCAGCCGTTTCTGTTGCCTTTGTTTACGCACTTGTTCCTGAAACAAAAGGAAAATCACTGGAGCAGATTGAGGCATTGTTTCAGAGTGAACATGAGCGGCAAGGGAGTGGAGTGGAGCTTAGAGATGTTGAGCAGCTTGTGCAGAAAGAGTGACCCTCTCCAGGGATCGTTTCTGACCCAACTCCAGTAAGTTCTTATGGTTATTGTATCGATGTGAGTACACAAATGGATGTCATGTTCTAAGTTGTATAAATCAAGAATTTCCCAGTTTCAAGCCTACAGGAATTCTGAGAATTATTGCCAGCACATGTAGGAATTGGTTCAGGGTTTTATTTATTTATTTATTTTTAACTTGTGTCAGAAAATTGAGTGCACATCTATTCGTATGGGAGAATGAGTTTAATTTAAATTTATTTTTTTTAAAAAAAAAAAAAAAAGAGGGGGTGGGGGAGAGAATCGGTAAAACAATGTCCACGTTAAATTCCTTTCACTGTTACTGGTTGAAATCCAGCTTTTATCATTTAACCTTCTTTTGTTTATAGGTTAATTCTGTTTTATTTCTGTTAACTTGCTTGAGACCACCAAGGGTCCACAAAGCAAAGCAAAGAATTGAAATTTTCCTTAATTTAATTGACAATTTGAGTGCTATTATATATTCCCTGTACACATCAAAAGCAGAGTTATAGACTATCTAAGAACAGCTAAGGTTTGGGAACAATCAAATGTATACAATTTTACTTCCAACATACTGAGAAACTGTTTCCATACTTTTCACAGTGCAGGAAAGAAGAATTCAAGATTAGTGGCGAAACAAAATAGGGGAAATATTAAAAAAATGAAAAGATGGTAAAATAATTTAAAATTCATGATGTACTAATTTGTGTAAAAAAATGTCATACTTTCATGTATTTAAAATTATTTTACTATGTTCCCACCCTTTTGATATTTCCCCAACAAAATAAGCAAGAAAGACATATATTTGACATGAATTTATTTATTTATTCATTTTGGTACTTCATTAAAAATAGCATAGTACATAGAGGTAAAATACACAGTATAAGGGTTGTTTAGCTTGTTAGAGAATGGTCTCTTCTAACTGGAATTCTGGAAATTCTGCAGAAGAGCAACTGGGAAACTGCATCAGTAATATTAACTAGAGAATAGGGTTTTATTTGAATATGAGCGAACACGATATAATAATATAAATAAATAAATAAGAGAACCGCCAAAGATAAACTGATAACCAAATTTGTGGAATATGACCTAGATTTTGTAAACGACAAATGAATTTTATATCATTTCGCAGCGGAGAAGAGAGGAATGACCAGAATTTTGAGAATAATATGTTAATTTACGGATAAAAAAACCTTGAATATTTTACATTTGTGCATAAAAACAAGAATATAGCTGTAATTTATGGTGATATCAAAATACCACTAATGGGCACAAGATGAACAAAGGTATCTGCAATGACAATTACATTAGAAGTGACATCCCTAACCATTTGCTATTCCAACAGGTCAGGCCCTTCTGTCACCTAATGGGGTTGGCATCATATTATGAACATTGAAACAATTCTTGCAGGAGCCATCACTAACCCTTTTAAGTCTGGCCACTTTCAAGGGCATGCCTTGGCACCACTAGAGGCTGTTACGACATATCCAGGAGTTTTTGGTGCTGGAGCTCAAGATATCCAGATGTCTCCTGTTTTAAACCCACAAGAGAAAACATATATTTTTTTCATGATTTTTTAAACATCACACACAACCATAAAAAAACAACAGAACAAAGAAGAATGACTTAAAAGACATTTCATGGAGGGCCTGATAGCCTTGCATTCGCATTTGCTAGTGAGGTGGAAGTGGGTGCCGTCGTGCAATCTTAATGCCCATTAATGGTAATTTCAGTTCCAGTTCCGATTTTTTGTAAAAGCGAATATGAAGTATAAAAATGACGCATAAACAACACATTTTAGATGAGTATGACATAAAAAATAAATAATAAATAAAACACAGACAAAACTAAAACCAAAAAGATAGACTACATTTTTGCTTGCTACATTTCTGGGCAACAAAACGGCACATCCACAAATTTCAACATGAGAGCACATAATGAATTTGATAGAAATAAACAAAAGCAGTTTTGAATGGTTTAATGTTTTATTAGCTTCTTTTGCACATACATTGGTTGATCGGAGAAAAAATTCCAGGTTGGACTTGTTTGTAGTTTATTCATATTGCCTTGCTCAGAATGTAAATTCCCTGATACAGAGAATCACTAAACTCAATTGGTATGCCAACATCAAACCGGTACAAAATTACAAATCTTAATTGGTAAGCCATTATTATAAGGAGTCAACTAAAAATGATGGAAGAACTAAACCACTAATAGGAATAGATGATAGATGCAGGATAATAAAAAAAAAATTATATATATAAGAAATCTAAGAATTTGAAAGGCTAAATCTCATGTTCCACAAAAAACCATCAAAAAAGTAAATAATATTAGTGAAACACGAATACAAAGTAAAGGAAATGAATCTCAATTCAACTGTCCAAGAAATCAAACCTCCAAAAGAATTACAACATATATGCAAAGATAGAGAAATGCATATACACATGAAAAATACTGTGAAAGGCTCATATAGAAATTCCTAAAAAATGACAGCATCATGGCAATCATAGAATTTAAGAAAAATAAATAGATATAACAAGAAAAAAAATTCTAACGTGGCCTTTAATTGATCTAAGCATTTGAGGAAGAGAAACTGGTTTTCTCTTCTTTATTGGAATCAGTCTTTGCGTACTTTGCTAGATTGTTGGCTGGAAAAGCATATGCGAAGTGACATTTTTGATATGGCAGAAGAAAGAACAAGAAGGAAAATTTGTATTTTCCCCCAAGCAATTGGAATGTGGAAGGAGCCTATCCACAAGAGAGAAAAGAAGCCAAAAAAAAAAAAATCCCAAGATTTTCATTGTTACCCCAAGCATGAGAGGATGATAGAGCCAAGAAAATAGGCACACTGAACATTTCACCAAGGCTGAAAATTTATTGTACCTATGCATTGACATTACATCTAACTAATCAAATGATCTCTCATGCTACTTTCAAATTTCAATAACAGGGAGTTAACATATCGGTGAAATCAAACATAGATTCCTAATTTTCTTAAAATAAGTTTGATAAAATGTTGTAGGTTAAGTCATCTGTTAGGTTTTTAAATCATCAAATTTTGACAGAGAATTGGACAAATACTTGTTCAAAGTTCCAAATTCTGACTGTGCCAACTGAGCAGTCCAAGATAGTCTCTATTGATATTGTTAGAATTTCCCATCTTTACCTTCACCTTCTCCACTACACACTCCACTTCACCTAACCCACTATCACCTCCACTACACCTACTACCACATTTTCTTCTATATATAGATTGTATAGGAATTGTAATTAATCAATCTTGTAATACAGAATCAATACTACAATCAATAATACATCAATTTTAACAATACAATACTCACAAAACCCCCAACAGAATTTGACATAACCCTAACATACCTATACCCCCATCCTTCAGACCTAATCCAAGGCATCATAGAGCAACACAAGGATCACTTGCTCACCTTTCAACCTTGCTTCAAATAATATTGAGCTCTATGTTAGAGGAAGAAAAATTGTCCTTATAAAAGCAATGAAAAGGTTGTATAAAATTTTAAAAATAAAGACATGCAAAACAAAAGTTTCAAATATAAACTATATTGTGGAAGAGAACCTCTGCAGCAAGCTTGAAGGGAAACTGCAGCAACCCTGGTTGAGACAAAATCCCTGTGTGCAACAAAAGTCCGTAACCGACCCTGGATACACTTTGCAGCAGCATCCAAAACTTCAGCCCGTCGTGAGTCTAAAACTCCAATCTGACCAGCCCTAAGAAAAACTTTTGTCTTTCCCAACTACAAAAAACAAATAATAATAATAATAAAAGATAAATAACAATAAGCCAACGTTGCCACCCATAAAACTTAAAAACTTCACAATTGAAACATTCAACAAACTGAACATGAAAGGAATTTAAAAAAAAAAAACACAAGATCAACACAAATTTTGTGATACCAACTGTAATATAAAATTATGGGAGCATACCTGATAATTCTCAAGCTTTAATTTCTGAAGTATCTTCTCTGTTGTTTTCTCATCGTCATAACTGTTAAAACATCAATAGGGAGCGGGGGTGAGATAGGCTAAGCACACAAATATCAAATAGCAAGAAAAAAGTTACTCTCCTACATCTAAAATCATCAGCATAACATATATTAATGAATCCACATTTGTCATAGAGAAAATTAATTACATGTATGCATAGATCCAGTTAAGTGTATCCACTCATATGTCTAACTCAACAAAGCCTTGTCCCAACTATTCATATTCAGCTACACAAATCCTGTTCGATAATACCTCTGTCCCTTAAAAATAATGTATTTTTGTGTCAATTTTTTTTTTTTCACAATTAAAAATACTTAATGAGATCTTTTAATTAGTAAAACAAATTTAAAAATTTTGGTATGAAAATTCATTATTTTTAAGTTCTTGTTTTTCTTGCCAGACAAACAATTTGGGATGGAGGGAGTAGTATTTTAGAAGATGCACTCAATTACAAACCTAGAATAAGTTTTCCTTTTCCCTTTTCTTTTTTCTCCCCTATATTTCATGCTCGGGGGGTAGAGGGTAGCAAAGAAACAATTTTGAAGGATCTTTGTGACTACAAAATTGTGAAATCCTCTAGGTTTTTGAAGACATATCCAAAACTAGGGGAAAGAGGAGCTTGTTAAAAAATTGAATGAGTGAAGCAAAGCCTAGAACGCTTAACAAGCATATGGACAGCTGCACAACAAACCAAATACGGCAACTTGATTTACTATCAAATTACGAAAATCGTGCAGCCATCTAGATCAGTCAGTATGTGTTATGCTCATAGCAATATACAACCATCTTAGATATTTACCTTGCCACTTTTTATCCCCTAGGACCCCTACCCTAGTATGAGAAAAAAAGAGGGGGTGCATTTGTATACTATGTAACTCATTTTATCTCTTTCATTAAGTACTCAACTTTATCAAAGCATTGCAGTTGTTTGGTGCAGCTTATATGAGTTGCTAAAAGCTTTTTTTATTTTAAAGTCTATGTAAGACTATTTGGTGAAACTTCTGCTTAATACTTTTTAGGCAGAAATAACTTAAATAAGTTGATTATTCGGAAGTTGGTGGAGAGAGCTTTTGGCTTCTGTTTTCTGATTATCAACTATTAGCTTATAATAAGTTGCACCAAACAAGCACATTGTCAGTCAATCCCATGGATGGAAGTTGGTCACAACATTGGACAGTAATTGGTATCACACTAGAACTGGATTGAAAAAATTCAGAAGTAACATCCAAAAAGTAACAAAGATTAAAATTCAAGATATACGATGATATGCCAGATTTCTGTTCACCCAATTGCATGCTACCAACCATAAAAATCTGAAAAAAAATTTAGTATATCAGCAAGTCATACCCTATGCTCCACGAGCTCCACTGGAATTTAGCAAAGCATGCTAGCCCCATAACAAAGGAACTAACAATGTAAAGGTGACCAGCATTAAACTTGTAAGGTTTTTGGGTCTTGAATTAATCATGTGTATATCCTCTTCTATACCAAAAAGGATATGGCACATTTGGCAATGCAAATATAATAACAATTATACATTAGCATGTTTGACTCAATGGTTCCTGTAGATACTTAAAAAACATCGTGCTTTCAAATGAAAAATCAAACAGAAATGGATGCTGAAACATGAAGAATATATGCAAATCATTCAGTGTATATACTTTGCATAAGCTTTACAAACAAACCCACCTTCCATCCATAATTTCCAGAGCTAACAGTCCAAAACGATCCACAAATTCATGATAAGTTCTCCGAGTGGGATAACCAGCCAGACTTATCCGAACAGCTTCTAAAACACCCTGAAGAAAATCAAACAATTATCATAAAGAACTTTACAATCATCGATAAGAATCATCCTCTCACCATAGTATTAGTATATAAGCTTGTGTCGTGGTAAATTAAACACAGATATTACATTCAAATGGCAAAATTGCCACATGAACACTATCAATACTCAAGTGAAAATTATTGTGCATACAGTCTAAACCTATCCATTTCTTAGCCTGAATTCATTGCAAATTACATCCCATAACAATCATGCTGGGAATATATGAAAAACAGAAGAGTAGTTTTAGCAAAAAGATGGATATTTGTGCTAAATAATTTTTACCAATTCCAAATTTTATCAACTTTGTTAGTATCTGCTCAAATAAATTAGCCACTAAACTTACTATTTTCTGTTTGTTTTAAAAAATTTTGGAAATTGAAAATGGAAACACATTTGGTAACTATTTTTGTTTTCCAAAACAAAAAGTGTTTTCTCATGTTTTGAAAACAGGTGAACTTTAGACGGTACATAACATCATGTAATTCATCAAATAACAAATTGTATGAAATGAAGAAATTCTGATGCTACTGACCCCACATCGTAACTGATGCAAGATACTCTGATTCTCAAATTTGTGAGGTCGGTTCAAAGAGTTTGGCTTCACACAGCGAATGTAATGAGGCTCCGTTGAATTGAGAGTCTCCATTAAAGCTTGAAGTTGTTGCTACAAATAAAAACAGAACAGTCACACATAGCAAGTTCTATTAGGCAAGATAAAGATATAGATGGACCATGCCATAACAACACAACCAAATCTTCAACAGATAAACATAACCAGTAAAGGCCTAAATACAATTAAAATATTAAACAGAAGTAGAAAGCTAAAACATAAAAAGTTAGCAAACCACACCAACTCTAATGAAACAAAAAGTGGAAGACTTGACCACTCCCACGTTGGCCAAAACAGTAATACACAAACAAATAGCTTACCAGCACTCAATCAAGGGTATATCATTCTTATATCAGGCACCAATGGCCCTACTAGTAGCACAATCAAGAATTCCCAAGGCTGAGAGCCTCCAAGTAGGTGTTTATCCCAACATGACATCATAGAGCCTCAACAAGGGACCTAGCCATATGAAGGGCCGTCATAGAGCCCAAACAAATCAAACCTAAGGCTTTTGCCAAGAGCCTGAAACAACAAGGTACAGTGTAGAAGTATCGCTCATTTCTTCAACGGGTCACTAGTGTTCATCGTAGTGCACAAACGGAATCAACATTATCAAATCAAGGGCATCTAGTCCAAAGGTTCTTATGCAAAAATCCCAAAATGGCTCGCAAACTAACCCAACATTGCCCAACCTTATGTCATCCTCTAAACTCTCTAATAATTTTATGGGTTTCCAATAGGACATATGTCAAGCATGTTGCCCAAAGCATATAGCAATATCCAAACACCAATGTACCATGCACCCCATGCAAAGGGGACCACCAACGTCAACATTAAAAAAATTGACCACTCCTCTATGTTACAGTCATTATGTAACAGTGTAGAAGGGTTTCAATATAGGCATAACGGCCTCCACAATCGCAGTTTGGACAAATGAACATTTTAAAGTATCAATTTTATTTTCCTTTTTCTTTTTTATAAGCCCAAGCCCTCTAAAATTCCTATTTCAACTTAGATTTACCTTCCTAACCTACAAAACGACAACATTTCATGGTAAATTCAAAGGTGGTTGTGTATTCCATTCTCGATATAACTTCCAATTTTTTTATTTTTTATTAATGTTGTGGCTTAATTTGAGTTAGATAAGTAAATTTCACCTACATGTACTTGTTTTATTTCAGCTTTGTTGTTTGAGACTTTCTTGGATATTCCATTTCAAAGTATTATTGATCAAGATTCTACATGCTTCATTTGACATTAGCTATACTTAGTAATTTTTTATTTTTTTAGTCTTTTTAACTATAATAATAAAATAAAATAAAATAACTAATTATTGAAAGAAAGTAGATATGTTCCTCTTGACAATGACTTAACAATAGAATTAACTACCTAAAGTAAATCATGTTCACTAATTATACCAAAAAAATCATTACAAATTATTATGAGCCCAAATATATATGATTTTGAATAAAAACATGCGTATCGATATAGGACTTGTGCAAAGAAGAAAGAATCACGACTCTATTGTCCGCTATTGTTAAGCAACATCAGTTGCATCCTAAAACTGCACCACAACCACTGCCACGCTACTACCATTATTTGAAACCTTGATCATGAGTAACAAGGTGCCTGGTGTCACGAAGCTAAATTATCTACCCAAATTCATAGCTAACCAATCTTCACCTGTGGTTTACTAACAACTACGATTACATGTTCAAAGAGGCTATCTAAACAACTAAACAAAACAATACAAGAAACTATTACTAAGTTTATATGTATTACCATGCCTGCAAAATGTTTACAATGTGTATTTGCCCTCAAAGACAATAATGTCAAATAAATAGCCCAAACTAGGGCTACCAACTAGTTGGATACCCAAGCCCATTGAAGTTTTGTTTTTTTTTCGGATAGGCCATTGAAGTCTTGTTAAAAGACCAATGTTGCCACTTGAAATTTAAATTGGATAGAAATCCAATTATAATCTAATCAAACTTGGATTTGTTTAGATTCAAAATCTAATTGTATGCTAATTTTTCTTTTATTCCCACTATTATCTTGATTTCAACTATACTCTAATCAAACTCAAATCCAATTACATGTTGATTTTCTTTTATTCCCAAATATGAAAAGATATACATAGAAAGAGAGAAGAAAGAAGATAAGATAGGAAGGGTTGTCACCTCTTCCAAGGGTTTAGAAGAGGGAAATTAGAAAAGAGAAAAGAAAACAACAAAAAATCACATAACACGCCCGGGGGGGGATACAAAACTCTTCCAAATATTTCAAGTTCCATTCATTCTAAGTGGCTCTGATCCAACCCTCACCACGCTACTTGTTCCATGCATTACCCTAGTATTATTAAAGGCGCACCTAGGTGTGTGCCTAGGCGCAAATCCCATTCAGGCCTAAGGTTTGTGCCTTGTAGCGTTCCAGGCCAGGTGACTTCAATAAGGCGCACCTAGGCTCAAGTCCCGTCCAGGCCTAAGGTTTGCGCCTTGCAGTGTTCTAGGACAGACGACTTCAATAAGGCGCGCATAGGCTCAAGTCCCGTCCAGGCCCAAGGTTTGCAACTTGCAGTGTTTCAAGCCAAGCGACTGTGATAAGGCGCCTGACTAGCCCAAGGTTTACATCTTGAGGTTTTTTTCATTCTTGCTTTAATTGGTTTTGTTTAAAATCTAACCATTGATTTAATATGGTGCAGCTACAGAAGATACCTACTCTTATTACAGATGCTAATACATTGGGCATTCAAACCCAAATCAATGATAGAAGAAAAATTAACCCTAAAACTTAATCTCCAAAAAATATTAAATGTTAAACATTTTATTTTGTTTATGTTGAATACTAAATTATTTACTTATATTAAAAAAAAAAAAAATTTCCGTACAAGGTGCGCCTCACTTCAGTGAAGCCTGCGCCTTGAGCCAAGGCCTCAAGAGACCTTGGCGCCTTGGTGTGCCTGTCGCCTTTAATAACACTGCATTACCCTCACTATGCTACTTGTTCCGTGCATTACCAAGGACTGCTTCCAGCTATGGTGGGCTCCAAAAAGAACCAAGCTTTGCACATGACAGGGTTGTGCCCTCCTCAATTCACATGGATGTTAGGAAGAAACATATATTCACAAATTTTCCGATTTCATAATAAACAAAATAGATATTATGTCATTCTGTGTGATCTCTAGTCTAACAAGAAGAAACATGTCGATTGCATAATCAACAAAATTTCATGTATTCACAAATTTGCAATGACACGTCAATAACTACAAAATGCCATTATTGTGCATCACATGCCATGCCTTGAAGCAATTCTACCCAAAGTGATGCCGCCAATTTGGCCAACAACTAGCCACTGAATAATCAACATGATGATCCAAGCAGATAACAAAAATAATAATAATAAAATCCAAAGACCATGAAAGATCATTTTTTCACATTTACGAGCCTCCCAAAGTAATTGTTAGGTATAGTCCAAAGTTCCCCAACCAACAAGTATAAAAGCATGGGTTTGAGTATAAGAGCATCCACTTGGCAAAAATAATGCAAAAGCTACATCCACAATCTCACCCCATCCGACATTCTCTCATTAATGGGAATAATGTCTTGCTATTATATACAACGATTCCCTCTCATGTGAAAGTTGTTCTCTCCAAAAGTTGAGGCACAGAAGGACGATTCTACATCTTTCTAGACGATAGAATGAGAGAACTCTCTCTCATTCAAACGATTCTACATCTTTCTCCATACTCTTCTTCAAACGACCTATAGCACGGACACCACCCTATTTAGTCAATCCTCACGTAACTCTATCTATCCCTCACCCCTATATAGTCCTTTCCCATAAATAAAAAAAGGTTGACCTATCCCAAGGACAACAAAAGTTGTGGACAGATCAATGTAATAAATCTGATTAACCAACTCCTTCAAATATTACTTGCTCTGAATTTTACTCGCAAACTAACAGACTGATGTCAATCATATCATGGATCTGTCCCCAAATAAAACAATCAACTTTGTCAATTATGTAATCAATGGAGTATCTGATGCAAGAACTTTTCAAACCCCTAGTTTATCCACTTTCTTCACCTTCCTCATTCATATTGTTTTGTCAATACAGAATTACTAAGTTATTATGCACTAAAAAAACACAGGGTGACATATAGATGTGCAAGTTTCATACCTTAAATCTAGAGGCTACTGAAGAAAACTTGTATGACGACCTTGAAGATTCCTCCGGTAATGAAGCAAAAAGACCAGCAATGAAGGAGCATTTGGAAGAAGACAATAGATTGCAATGTTCCACCACAACATAATCACGATTTTTATCTAAAAAAGTATCTGTCTGATATGTAACCTGCAGAATTATAAGGAAAGTTAAAACTATGTTTATAAAATTTCTGGACCACAACACAACTTCAATGCGTATGACATGCCTTGCCAGCATAGTGGGAAATGGTAAAATCTGTTTCTGAAAATTTTGCCTTCTCCAACCTTGGGTGAGCCCGAAAATTCTGGAACAGCTTGGTTGAGAATGTTCCATATGTTGATTTGGGAAACATGCTGCATAAATAGGAAAATAAGGATACGACAGAATTGAACTAATCTAAAAGAGCAACACACACCAATTGCCAATGGAAAAGTCATATTGTACCAAGCTTCATCCAGAAGAGCAATTATTCCAATAGGCTTCTGCAAAAGCATTTACAGAAACATGAGGCTAAAGAATAGCAGGTATTCAAGAAAAACAAAAAACACAAAGGAGAGAGAAAAAAAATTAATATTAATAATAATAAATGAAGAAATGGAAAATGTACATATCCACTCCCGATCTCCAAAAATACATTTCGTATATAATCGCAAAACTTGCAGTCTGGGTGCACTTCCTATATTTTGTCCAGATACAGCATTCTAAAAGAAGGGTTACTAAGTCATATCTGAACATAAAATATTTGCTAGTGTTATTCTCCTACCCAAAGAAGCACAGACTAGGACACACGACACGAGTCAAAAATCAAACATAATCCTAATACTTAAAAGACCCGGATGGCAAACTGTAGAGATCTGCAAGCGCAGCCCAGGATACTCACACTTGCGGAATCCAATCTTTTCGGTGATATTTTTCTTTTATTGTTTTAACCTATTGGGACCACTTCTAACCCTCAGAATGAGTATTAGGACTTAGAAAAGGCTCTAATGAATACTCAAACTTGTATCAAATGAAGAATGATTTGAATTTAAGATGACACTCGAATTAATCTCAAACTTGAGGTTCATACAAGCTAGAATAGAGTATTCAATGGACATTGCTTCTTCGTACTTGTGTATGTCAATAATTTTGTGAATCATCCTACTTGTACGAGCCATTGGTGAGTAGTATTATCTTGAAATTAAGTTCAAATGCTTAATTGGAACTCAAATCATGTTATACTTTGGAATACATTAAAATATTTTATATGAATGGATATCCTATGTTTATGTATGACATACGTAAAAATGGCATCCCAGATTAGTCCCAGATACTAAGAGACAATAAATGGGTTAATAGCAGACGATTGAGATCTCCTTTGCGTGTTTGTCTAATTGGTACCTAGGCCGATTATTCCTTTGTTTTGTTTCTGTTAGAATACTTATTTTTGTTCTCTTGTTAATATTTACGTAAGTTGAGGGTACAATAGTCATATTGCTATGTTAGGGTTTATATATATATATTTTGTTGATGTAGAGTTGAGGGATAATGATTATTCAATATATATATAATTTCTCTTTCTTCTCTCCTCTCTTCTTCTTCTTCTTCTTCTTCTTCTTCTTCTTCTTCTTCTTCTCTTCTTCTTCTTCCTAAATCCCAATACTAAATTCCTTCATTTTACATTCTAATTTGGTATCGGAGCAATCTATTCTTTAGTAGAAAGGTTTCTACAGACTCTAGAGATCAATTGGAGGTGACCGAGACGTGCTAATGTCATCAACCGTCAAAATGACATAAGCACTGTACGGATGGGGTCCTTCACCCCTATATTTGAAATTTCCTCCTCAAATTTATGGTGATTTTTGTGAAATTTTTTTATCATCCCTGATGTGAGTTTTCTATTTTTGAATGTTTTTCGTGTTTTTTGGTGTCAATCTTCAAATCTGAATTTGGGACTGGTTTTTGTTGGATCTGCTTGTTGAAATCCTATCTCTAGGAGCCGAAATACACTCTCACAGTGTTATTTGCTATTATTTTGTTGATTTACTACTGTTGGGTTGATGTTTGATTCGATTTTGGCTTCATTTTGGTACTGTACACATTCGGCAGTTTTATTTTTCAATTTCTACCTACTGAAACTTACTATATAGGCGTTGAAAATTATCTAGCAAGGGTTGTTTGATCTTAAAGTGTTGATTTGTGTTGGTGGATTGGTTTTTTTGGTTGAATTTGGGTCCAAATTTGTTTGGTATGAAGCTTTAAGTAACCAGCTTAGGGTATGATGAGATATCACCCCTTATTTATACATGAAGATTAGGGTTTACAAGGCATAAAAATGATTACAAACCCTAGTGACTTTCAGCTAATATAATATGCTAAGTGACTTTCGACGAATATAATATGCCAACACTCCCCCTCAAGCTGGTGCGAAGATATCTCTCATGCCCAGCTTGCCTAATATGTCATGAAATGGTTTATTCCCAATTCCCTTGGTGAGAATGTCTGCAAGTTGTTCACCAGACTGGACAAAAGGAGTACAAATGGTACCACTAGTGAGTTTCTCCTTAATGAAGTGGCGATCAATCTCAACATGTTTTGTCCTGTCATGTTGAACTGGATTGTGAGCGATGTTGATGGCGGCCTTATTATCACAGTATAACCGCATGGAGTCCGTCTGAGCAATACCTAGATCACTCAACAATAATTTGATCCATAAAAGTTCACACACACCTTGTGCCATAGCTCTAAACTCAGCTTCTGCACTTGACCTGGCAACCACATTCTGTTTCTTACTCCTCCAAGTAACTAGGTTGCCGCCGACAAATGTTAGGCAAGAGAAGGCTTTAGGATTTCTACCTGTTTGTGCCAACAAAACACTAGGAGTACCGGGGTCAAATATGTCATAATTGAAAAGTCAAGTCTAAAGTGAAACAAATCCTAAACTATAGGGACCTTTAGTGTAATTCGCCCAATAGTTAATAAGACAAAATGACACATTTAATTTATAACCATTTCACTTTTTCTATCACAACTATCAAATCAACTTAAAAAAAAAATCAATTAATTTTTCAAATATAATTTTTTTAATTAAATTAAAATAATTAAAAAATCAAATAGTTAACTTCCCACACAAGGTATATATATAAATTCTTTAAATGAGAAGAATCCATTCCCATATTGTTGTTAATGGTTTTTCTATTTAAAGATATTATTGAAATATAAATTTTATCGGTTACAATATCTAAATAGAATTTCCCAAATCAAAAAAGACGAAAAAGATACCGGGGAGAATAAGGTCAACACGATCAACGGGCCCGGGTGCCCGTCTGCCAAAAAAATCAACAAATCGTACGGTGCTAATTTGGCTACTACTCTACGAATAATTACAGAAGTTCGTCACCAAAATAGCGATAGAAAACAGTGCCCAACCGTATTCGCAACAGAGCGAGCAGAGACACAGAGAGAGAGAGAGAAGCCAAAATCTGATCGAGGTTGACAGGTGCATTGGAGTTTGGCTGATCAGTCTCTCAAGTGTAAAAATGGGTCGGAAACCCAAAGCAGCGAAGATTGCCGAAGCAGCCAGTGCGGACATGGTAAAATCTCTAATGCTCTCATTCTCTTCAAGCCAAACGACCCTTTCAGAACCCTTACGATTTGTTTGCTTGTTGATTTCTTCCTAGTTTCTTTACCATTCCCTCTGTTTGTTTCAATACATGTAGATAGATAGGGCTCTGCATGTGTATTTAAGTGTTTTTACTTTTTTTTATTACGCTGGGTTAGAGTAGGGGTGTAGGGTTTTGGGTCAGAGATTGAAGAGGGGTTTTTGGGAGATTTTCACTATTTTTTTACAAAAAATAAAAAAGAAGTTTTTATTTTTTAAAAAAAGATTAAAAAAATTAGGTCTTGTTAACATGTGGGCAAATGATATTTTTTTAAAAGGATTAAAAAAACAAAAAATTTATTTATTACATGTACTTTGATGCAGAATATATAATATTTTAAAGTTTCATATTAACATCAATAAAAATTTCATTTTGACAAAATATTTGTTTATATTCTGTATTTTATATTTTCCAGCCCTCTCTATCTATCCATCTATCTGTCTTGGTGATGTGATTAGTTTGTAAATGCAATTTGAATTTCTGTGTTTTGCCCTGGTTTGAACATTATGAAAAAGAAGAAAACAAAATTCATAAATAAATCTTATTGTAGGTAAACAATGCCATTGAAAATCCGGTAGTCATTTTTATTTTAGGGTAACTTATATTTTGAAATTTCATGAAAATGCAGTAAGTTCTGTAGTTTTGACATAATTATATTGGATTCTCTTAGGTTGTGTTGTGTTTGACTATTCCATTCCAATCCACCTTCATTCTAGTGAAACAAACACTACCTTAGAACGTCTCAATAGGAATAATTGACCTTGTGATCTAGTGATTGATTTTATTCATAAATGTGGCTATCAGTCCAAAATTTCCTAGTTTCTATTTCACTTTTATTTTATTCAACCTTCTTGCATTTTCTTATCTGGAAATTCTTTTTGTATGAGTCATATTGTGGTTGTTTATTTATTTAGTATGGTTTCACCAACTTGTATTATTTTATGTATAGCCCCAAAACTTGAATCCTTTTGTGGAGAAAGTTGCACCTGAGCTTAAAATGCAAACAGAATCTGTTGGCTTATCCTCGAAGAAAAAAACATTTGCAAACAGTAGGCGATCTGAACGTCTTAAGAATGTAGCCCAACCCACTCAAAACCAAGAGATAGAGCCTGTGATCGAGGAGGTAAATCTCTGTGAAAGTGAGAAAGAAGATGAGAAAGAAGAGGAGCATGAGCCACATGTTGAGGAAAATCCACCAGAGTCAATGCCGGCTGAAAGGAGATTGGAAGAGAAAATTGATTACCTTGTTCAAGCTGTAGAAGCATTGCAGTCTAAGGCATTTAATTAATTGGCACTAACCTCATTATCTTTCGCCATTGTTCTTGAGTTTTTGATTAAATTATTTTTCTTCATATATTTATTTATTTTCTTGTATGTGTGTTTTCATCAAAATGTTTAACAGGCACCCAAGAGACACTTCCAAAGTGACAGCTTTTCTGCTGATCTCAACTACAAAAGCTTGTATATTGACTCACAAAAGAAGGTTATATTTCTTTAGTGCCTTGTCGTGCCTTTTTGTTCTTCATAAATCCTGTAATCTTATTTCCTTGTTTCTGAGTTATTGCAGATTGAAGCCTTAAAAAATGAAAATTTTGAGCTCTCTAAGAAGCTGGATTTTGCTCTTGGGAAAATCGAAGCGGTATTGTTTTATTTACCCCCATTACTTAGCTATTTTGTTTTCCAGTGCGGGACAAGCAACATAAGATTAACCAAAAACTTGTTATCTGTGTAATAATGAATATATGTTTTGAAGAATTGATAACTATAAGTTTACAAACTTCCCCAAGAATGATATTCTTTCAATTGTGGAAGATGCAATGGAATGCTTATTTATCTTTATGAAATTGTTAGCATTTTATGAATGGGCTAAAACTCTGATAGATTGGGTTTTTGGACTGATTTGTTTGTATAGTCATGACATATCTTAATTGAATCATTCATTTATTGATCCATTTTCGCACACTGTTTTATGATATATTTTAGTACTTAATTTATAGCCTCAAATGGTCATAGTAGGAATTAGTTTCAGGCAAAAATTTCCATATAAAAAAAGGTTCAAAATATTTCTATGAATTGTTTTCTGGAACTTTTCAAGTGGGCAGACCTTATGGCAGTGTAACTGATTTTTGTTTTAGTTTGAACTATATTTTATGATATTTCCTTTTCTCTTCAATTTTGATGCCCTAGTTCTTCTTTCCTGGTGGTTGAAAATTGTCTATGATTCTTCCTTTTTGTGAAAATAAAGAAGGCTTGCCAAAAAATTTGGAAAAAAAGAAGAAGAATGAGGCCAATTTTGGAAGATTAAAATGTTCAAAGAAAAATGTTAAAAAATAGTTAGAGATGGAAAGTTTCATGTATGCGGTGGATCTTTATAGTAAGTTAGATACAAAGTAAGAAGGATGGGGAGAAGAGTATATACAAACTTATTGAGGAGAAGTTACTTTGAGAGGTTATTGAGTAAAAATCTTATAGGGTATGTATTTGTTTATTTTTTAAGAAGGTGGTAACTGTAGTAGAGAGATTAGAGTATATGTGTGTTAGAATACTTATTTTGTTAATATTTACTTAAGTTGAGGGTACGATGGTCATATTGCTATGTTAGGATTTGTATATATATTTGACTGATGTAAAGGTGAGGGACTATGATTTTTCAATATATATAAAATTTCTCTTTCTTCTTATTCTTCTTCTTCTTCTTCTTCTTCCTCTTAAATCCCAATCCTAAATTCCTTCATTTTACATTCTAGCTTGGTATCAGAGCAATCTAATCTTCATTAGAAAGGTTTCTACAGACTCTGGAGATCGATTAGAGGTGATCGAGACATGCTGATGTCACCAGCCGTATGATGACGTTAGCATGACGTAAGCACTGCACGAACGGATCCTTCATCCCTAGATTCGAAATTTCCTCCTCAGATTTATGGTAATTTTTGTGGAATTTTTTTGATCATTCCTGATATGAGTTTTCTATTTTCGAATGTTTTTCAATTTTTTTTTTTTTTTGGTGTCAATCTTCAAATTTGAATTTGAGACTAGTTTTTGTTGAATCTGCCTGCTGAAATCCTATCTATAGGAGTCAAAATTCACTCCCCGACTGTTATTTGCTATTTTTTTGTTGATTTACTACTGTTGGGTTGATATTTGATTCGATTTTGGCCTCTTTCTGGACTGTACATGTTCGGCAGTGTTATTTTCCAGTTTCTACCTATTGAAACTTACTGTATAGGGGCCGAAATTTATCTAGTAAGGACTGTTTGATCTTAAAGTGCTGATTTGTGTAAGTGGGTTGGTGTTTTTTGGTTGAATTTGGGTCCAAATTTGTTTGGTCGACATGGGTTCTTTCCACTCATGTCTCTGTAGTCATGGATTCTTGTTGATTGAACTAGTTCCAGTCTCTATACTAATATGCTAAGTGACTTTCGGCGAATATAATATGCCAACATGGTAGACATAGGTTCTCCCCACTCATGTCTCTGTAGTCATGGATTCTTGTTGATTGAACTAGTTCCAGTGTCTATACTCATTGTTGTAAGTGTTGATTGGTGTGGGTAATTCCTATTTGCAAGGATTCTGCTACATTCATACTCTTGTGTTGAGCATTTTGTGTGATTGCTTGCCATGGTTGAAATTGAGACTATAGCTGTGGGTATGGATGATGACATGCCTAAATCTATTATTATCAAAAAAATGAATGGTGCCAATTATTTGATAAGAAGAAATACCACTTCATTAGCGAACTCCCTCCTGCTACTAACGACAAAGCTTATGATGATTGGTGTAGTGAGGATTCTTGTGTTATGGGTTGGATTTGGCATAGCTTGGAACCACATGTTGCTACTACCGTGGAATTTTGTGATACCTCTAAGGAAATTTGGGACTCCATTACTGAATCCTTTTCAAATTAAAGTAATGTCACTCGGGTCTATGAGTTATATGAACAGATTTTTGCTATGTGCCAATCTGGCCGGTCCCTTCCCAATTATTATAGTAGTCTCAAGACCTTGTGAGATCAATTATTGCAGCATCGACCCTTCACTACTGATGTGAACAAACAAAAGCAACATTAGGAGGAGTTTATGATGGCTTCTTTACTCTCCGGCTTAGATCCTAAATTGTGGGGGATCAAGAATCAAATTCTTCCCAGTGAGACATTACCTAATGTTGCTAATGCCTATTCTCGGCTATTGCGTTCTTCTTTGGGACAGGCACAATCCGCCTCTGGGTCCTCTACCTTGTCATCTTTTGCATTGGTCTCAAGTAGTAGTGATCGTGGGTCTCATCAAGGGGGTTTTCTTGGCCCATCTAGTCAACGACACTCTTATTCTAGTTCACAGGGTTCTTGTGGTGCTGGTTCCCATGGTGGTGGCTCGCATGGTGGTTTTAGGGGTGAAGGTAGTAATGGACTTGGTTCTCGCACACGTGGTGATCGCAAGTGTACTCATTGTGGTTCCTAAGGTCATACTGAACCTTAACGTTGGCAGAAGCATGGTAAACCTAACCGTGTCCATCAGGTTATGGATGCTCTATCCTCACAGTCCTCCTTGTTTTCCACTAGTTATGTTGCTTCTCCGGTTGATTCTCATGAGACACTCACTACTCAGATTAGTGAACTTACCGCTCTTGTCCAATCTCTCCGGCCTAGTTTACCTTCATCCTCTACCGCTACTACGCTAGTTCAGGTAATATTGCATGTGTGGCTAAGGCACTGAGCCTTGGCTCCTAGACTCTGTGCTAGTTCCATATCTCTAGTAATTCCTCACTCTTTGATACTCTTAGACCTGTTGATCATTCTATTATACTTGGTGATGGATCTTCTCGACCTGTCAGTGGTCAAGGTCCTCTTCACCCCACTCCATCCCTTTCGTTACCTTCGGATCTTTATGTCCCTAGGTTTCCATTTAATTTACTGTTTGTTTTCCTATTGACTCAATCTCTCCACTGTTCGATAACCTTTTCTCCTATTTCATGTGTTTTACAGGACCTCCAGACCAAGAGCATGATTGGTTTGGGGCATGAGAATGATGGCTTATACTTTTGGGCACGGAGCCCTCTCCTAACCCTTCATTTGCTGTGTTGAGTGCAACTATATCTCCTCTTCAATGGCATTTTCGCTTGGGTCATCCCTCCTTGGCCAAGCTCAAGTTAGTTGTTCCTAGTTTAAGTCATATTTCTCAGATTGAGTGTGAAGCCTATCAATTTGGGAAGTATCATCGTAATTCTTTTCCTAGTCGTAGCAATAGTCATGTGTCTGAGTCATTTGCTCTTGTCCATATAGATATCTGGGGTCCCAAAATTTTCACTGTTAATGATTTTTTTTATTTTGTTATTTTTGTGGATGATTACTCTCGGATGACTTGGTTGTTTTTAATGGAACAGATATCTGATTTGCCTTCTATTATCTCTAAGTTTTATAATGAAATCTTTACTCAATTTGGGAAACGTATTAAAATATTTCGATCTGATAATGTCTTAGAATATGTACAGTCTATTGTAACTACTTTTTGTGATGCTCGTGGTATTATTCATCAAACTAATTTTTCTCATACATATCCTCAAAATGGCATTGCAGAGCGAAAATACCGCCATTTGTTAGATGTTACTTACACATTGATGTTTAAAATGCATGTTCCCAAACAATTTTGGGGAGATACAGTTCTTACTGCTTGTTTTCTTAATATCTACATGCCTTCTAGTATTGTACACACATTTCCTATTCTCTGTTTCCCTTGTCGCCTCACATTTTTGATTAAGTGGCCTTTGTCCATGTTCTTGACCTTGATTTGGATAAGTTATCTCCTCGTGCTCGCAAATGTGTATTCTTAGGCTATTCTCGTACTCGGAAAGGGTACCAGTGTTATCATCCCGAGTCTCGTCGGTACTTTGTCAGTGTTGATGTTACTTTTTTTGAATCTACTTCTTTTTTTCTTCCTCTGGGCAAGAGTTACCTACTGATCTTCTCTCTTGTCGTGAGAAGGAGCCAACCTCTCTCACTCCTACTCTTCCCTCGTGTGTTCCTTCCTCCTCCACTCATATATCCTCTCCCTCTCGTCTCGCCTCTACCCATCCTTTGCCAGTTTATCAACAGTCTCAAGCTTATCGCATTGTGTCTTATGGCCCAACCAGTTCATCTCCCTTGTCTGAAGTCCCTGTTCCACCTGCTAATATGTCCTCTGATGACCTTCCTATTGCAATCCGCAAAGGTAAATGCACTTGCACTCAATATCCTATTGCTAACTTCGTTTCTTATGATCGTCTCTCTCCTAGTCTTCACTCTTTTGCCTGTAGCTTGTCTAGTATTTCCATTCTCCGCTACTATCAACAAGCTATGTCCATCTCTAGTTAGAAGCATGCCATGGATGAGGAAATGCATGCTTTTCATCAGAATCAGATGTGGGAACTTACAACTTTGCCGTCTGGCAAATCTATTGTAAGTTGTTGGATTTATACTGCCAAGTATCTTCTTGATGAAACTATTGAGCGACTTAAGACTCGCCTGGTAGCCAAAGGCTACACACAAACCTATGGTGTTGATTACTTGGAAACTTTCTCTCTTGTGGCTCGTCTTAACTCTATTCGGATTCTTCTCTCCGTTGCAGTTAACAAGTCTTGGCCTTTATATCAACTTAATATCAAGAATGTCTTTTTCATGGTGATCTCCAAGAGGAGGTCTATATGGATCAACCCCCTGACTATGTTGTTCCTTGCCAAGAGCATCTTGTTTGTCGATTGCGAAAGGCCTTGTATGGT